GAGACTATCATTGCTTCGCTAAATGCGTTATAAATATGTTCTGCCATATATATTTGTTCTTCGCCATTATTTTCGTGTGCCAGTTCAGCCATTTCGGGGATATCCTCCCCCTCATTCAATTTATTATAATCATGAGTCTTTCTAGGTCTTTGACTTCGTCTTATAGGCTCTGAGTCTGAATCTGGAATCGGAGTTCCGTTTTTGGAAGGTGCTGGGTTTGAACTCAAACCGCGAGTCGAGGATTTCGGCGTGGTTTTCTCCAGCTGCTCCCCCTCGCGCCGAGTATCCGGTTCAGGGGATATGTTTGAGAATTTAAAGTTTCGAGAGACTTTCACTGATCTGTGCATTTTATCATAGTATTTAATCGCTTTGGGCCCATCTTGGTAGCCAACAAAGGTATGTTTTACTGCTTTTGGGCTTAGTTTAGATATGTTTTCGCCCTCTATTAGAATATAAACTGGGGAGCCAAATTCCTCCAAGTGTGATATGTTTGGTTGCTTATGTAACCATTTTTCGTAAGGTGTTTTATTGTTTATTGCACGCGTGAATGCGCGGTTTCGAAGGTAGGCCGCATGTAGGGCCGCGTGTATCCAAAGAAATCTCGGAACATTCCGGCCAATCAGCATTGCGCGTGAAAGTTCCATAATAGTCCGATTATAGCGCTCGGCTACTCCATTTTGCGCGTGCGCATGTGGCGCAGTGGCTTCGAGGGTTATCCCCTTTTGGGAGCACCAAGACATAAATTTTTCGTTCATGTATTCCCGCCCGTTGTCGGAGCGGATTTTCTTTATAGTATAGTTGTGTTGCTTTTCTATAAGTGTTATATGGTTTTGTAGTTTATCGGACGCTTCTGCTTTTGTTTTTAATGGTATGATATCTGAATATCGCGAATGGTCGTCTATTACAGACATAAAATATTTGAAGCCTCGAATGGACTCTGTTTGGGCTGGACCCCACAGATCGGTAAAGATCCGTTCCCCTGGGATTTGAGATTGATTATCGACCATTTTGGGAAATGGACGTCTGGTTAATTTTGCTTCTGTGCACGCATCACAATTGACTTGGTCTGGGCCCGGGGTTATCTTTAACCCGGTCACCATGTTTTCATTTGCGAGTATTTTTAGTGCGGGAACATTGATGTGGCCAAATCGTCGGTGCCACTGTTCCCAAGTATGAGCTATTGGCTCGACAAAATAAGATTTTTCCCCTTTAAGGACTGGTCTGCCTTTAATATAGTATAAGTTGTTTATTAATCTTCCTGTCGCGAGAATTTCGCCAATATTATCTACAAGTCTGACTTTCTGATCGCCATATATGGCTCTACCCCCTGTCTGGTCGAGTTTAGAGACGGACAGAAGGTTTCGAGTTGCCTCGGGGATATGGAGGACTTCATTTAATTTTAATATGCGCTGATCACTATGGGCTTGTGTTTTAATATAGACTGTTCCTCGGCCATGGGCCTGGACCATTGGTCCGCTTATTCCTTTTATGAGTTTATTACTTATAGTTTTATATTCGGAGAAGGCTTCTCGGCTGAAGCAGATATGGGAAGTTGTTCCTGAGTCGCTAACCCAGTCATAGATGGAAACAGTAGATTCGGTCTCGGCTGACTCATCGTCAGCCTCAGCGCTATTCATAGATACATCGGGATCAGGGATCTGTAATTTCTAATTCTGCTAAGGCTTCGGTCTCGCGCTCTATGGCCATGCGGGAAGATTCCGCCGGAGCTTCTGTTGGAGTCTCGGCCAAATTAGCCTCGTCTGCGCTTCTCTTTTTCCCCTTTTGGGAACTTCCTTCGGCAGCCTTTGCCTTTATGTCCTTTTCCAGCTTCTTTCTATCATTATCCGTGAGTCTTCTGCCAGTATACCCCTCGGGGTAACCTTTTTGAGGTGACAGTTACGCGCGATATGACCGCGGTACCCACAATGGTAACACTCGGGTTTGTCTTTGACAGTGCAGTCCGCGTATGAATGATTACTCATCTTGCAGACGTGACAACCGCGTGACTGAGGGATTCTATTCCCATTATTCCCACGACGCGCCTTCCCGGAGGAAGTATGAAGGGCTTCTTCCCCACGCGATCGCTTCTGAGTTCTTTTGGTTCCCGCGCGGCGAGCACCCTCGGCCCGAATGAGAGCTATGAGCTCATCAGTCGTCCTATTGAGTTTGCCATCGGCCGCTTCTACTCCATGGTAACCCTGGGACCAGGTCTTCCAGGAGTTCGGGAGCGATATGAGTATAACATTCTGGAACTCGGCATCGGATACGGTGCGACCGGTAGTTCCCGCGGCAACGGCGATGCGCTGGCGAAGATCTTCTAATTCGAGTATGTGACAGCCAATTTCGTCTTCATCTCCGGCCCGCATAGTGTATAGGCGCGAATAGAGTTCGGTGACATGTTGTCCCGATCGGATCTCGAACGTATCGGTGAGTTTCTTCCACATTTCCGCAGAAGTGAAAATCTTTGATGGGTTCTGCGGGTCTCGCTTCTTCACGTGGGAAGATAAGTCGTCACTGACCGAATTGGTAAGAATATATCTCGCTATCCCATCTCTCTTTTTCCACAGCTCCCGTTCTTCCGGGGTTAACGCTTCCGTGATCGGCCATTTGCCGTCGACGATATGAAGGCACCCGAAGAGCTCGAAGAGACTCTCGGCGCGGTCTTTGAAAGGGAGCCAATTGGTCCCCCCGGAGATTTTGCGGAGTTTGTCGCTACCGGTCATATTGGCCGGTTTGCCGTGCTTCGTGCGAAGCGATGCGATCATGATCGCGTGCGTGGAGTCGTCTTCGGGAACGATGACGGTTTCTTGGTGTGCCGCGGCGGTGGCTGTGCCGGCGGAGTTGGGAGTAGCCGGCAGGATAGGGCCGCTGTCCGGATTGGGGTTGGACATGTCTGGGGATGCCGCGCGAGACGGATATAGAGAAGTGAGGCGTGAGAGCGGGTCGTTATACCCGAGATGCAAGTTTGTCGGCATGTACGAGGATGGGGGTTTAGAAACGTGCGGGGCTCATAACCACTTAGGTTGAGAGAATCACACAGCGGATGAGAGCAGTGCGAGCTGAGTTTTCCTCGCTCGAGTTCGTCTATTATTTATACTACTAGTTTGTAGGGGCTATAGGCCTCCTCTACTTTAGATTACTCATACGAATTCTATGGGCACGGCTTGCCATCGGTTTCAAGTGTAGCTCCGTCCGACTACTAAATTCATTACAACAGGAGTAACCTCAGTCAGCGCGCTGCGGAGAGCACGTGACTTTACTCATGACGCCGAGACTGACGTCGTGTCATTCTCGTCTCGCTTTATTCAA